CTACAGGTAGCTTTAATTTTTTTTTTCAGTGAAATGCATTAGACAGGAGCTTTGCTTCCAGAAAGAGCAGGGCAGAATGTATGAGTCGTATTAGCGAGTCCCCTTCCCACTTTTTTAATAAGAAAGAGTCTTTGTAGGTTAATGACACCAAGCACAATACTGTAAAATGCAAACCTGTGTCTGCCTACTAGAAAAATATTTTTAATTTAACCTTTTTAATTAGATTAAGACCTGATATGGTAACAGGAGGGCCTTTTCATCATACTGGGAAGAACTTACATAAACCAATTGTGTAATACAGTAGCCTAATTGTAAATTTAACAGATTTGTTTATGCATCATAGACTTGGTGGTTTCCTGGGAAAATAAATTAATCTTTACTCTGTTCAGCTGAAAATTCCAGTCCCTCTAGTGCTCGGTTTTTATTTTGCTGAAACTTTCCATCTTTGATTTGAACTTAATTCAGGTAATTCAGTGCCAAGACACCAATTCTACATAGAAACTCAATATACAAGCTTGTGATTTTGGTTCAAAGGCTTTAGTAAAGCATTTATAACTGCTTATCTACCAGTTGGGGGTGGAGTTAGGACTGCTGATCACTCGGCATACTGCCTTTCTGGCTTTTGTTGTTGTCTTCTGAATGGTAAAAAATATTTCCATGTGACTAAACTGACATCAGTTGCATTTTTGGGTATTTCAGATTTCTCTGTACTAAGATGAACTGCATGAAGAAGGAAAAAAGTCTTTGTTGTGAGAGGTGCATGCTGTTCAGAACAACCTCACATTTGAGCTTGTTTGCAGTATGGAGATGGAGTTGGGAGGAAGAGAAATGACTCCTTGGGAAATTGGTTCTTGTGATGTATTTTGCAGGGATGTTCTCTCATGTGCTGGGCATTGTTTTAATGACAAGAAGGTGTTCCTTTCCACTTGAAACAACACACCTAAGGATACAGCAAATGTGGAATTTCTAAAAATGTTTAAAATCTCACTGTAAACTGAACTGAGTATAAACCTGATGATAATGAAAGTTTCATTGGAATCTTGTGGCTGGCAGCTGAAGTTGCATGAATTCAGTCTTGAGCTGAGGCACTATTTCTTAGCAGCAGAGTAAAGTAAATATTAGAACAGCTTATCCAAAGATGCCTTTGACAGTGAATTTTTTTTTTAAGGTGACATTATACTTTTTGCTTCCTGAAAAACCAAATAAACAGAAATCCAACCTGCTGTAGTCTGCTTTAGGGAAAGGTTCTTGCCCTGTGGGGGCAGCAGGCCTAAACTGTTAATTCTGAGGTGTTCCTGGTACGAGTATGGACATATGGACACGCAGAATTCCAAGGATTTTCAGCATCTTGAGGCAGCTCTGTGTTCAGGTACTTCAGCATTGGCAGTGTGCTCAATGAGATACAGGGGATGAAAATAAGTTATGATCCCTGCTAGAATTCCTCAGGCCCTGGTGTCTGCCACAGAATAGGAGTGACTTGGGCTTGACACCCAACACCCTTCCCAAGTCCCTTGGACTTCCAAGGAAGTGTGGGAACTCTGGAAGGACTCTGGGTTTCCGATCGACTGTCATCTTTAATGAAAGAGGTGAAGAGAAAGAATGAGAACACTGAAAAAAAATTTTTTTAAGTACAAAACATGGAGAAGGAATTCTGTATTTGGCTTTCTCTACTAACAGGCAGAGGCAAAGAATGGTTTTTGTGTGCTGTCGAGTATCTGTAGGTTTCTCTGGAGAAAGTGTTCTCATCTGTGGGTGACATAGGTGTGGGCTCCTGTGTGTGGAAAGCGGTCCCGTACGTGTTTGCTGAACGGGGCTTTTTTCAGCTAGCTAAGAAAACAAGTAGCCCCTAAGAGATTCTTAGCTACATGTAGTAGTCTCTTTGGAGGTGAGTTCTTGCTGCTGCAGATCAACAGAGACGTTCTTACCTGATTAGCCAGAGCAGGGAGTACTTCTGTGCTTTTCTCTTGGTGAGGGTCACCTGCAGAGTGCTCTGGAGATCAGAGCTGAGGGCAACTGCTTCCGAGATGTCTCGACAGCTTGTCTTGCATGCCTTCGATGCGTTGCCTTTCCAAGTCATTCAGCATTTTCAGTTGTTGCCTGCCCTGCTCAGCGGTGACTCACGTTGCCAGTGCAGCGCAGGTCAAAGGAAGGGAGAGCGGGCTGGGCGTCTGTCCGAGTTCCCCTAATGCTGGTTCCTACTGGGCAGTCCGTCCCGTCTGTCTTTGGCAGCAGCTGTGGACAGGGGCCCTGCCAGGGATGCCAAAGGGGATGGCAGAGCTCCTCTCTCCTTTCTCTCCTCCAAAATCAGTCTCTCTCTCAATGTCTGCAGTGCTGATGGATTCCTTATTCAGTTTCCTGAATAATCCTGCTGTTAATGTTTTATTTCTCTAGCAAATTCAACTTTCTAGTCCTTTACCAGTTACCTGTCTCTGACTTGCTGAATGGCCTGTGCCCATAACTTGTCCCGCTTCGCAAACGGGGCGCCATCACCAGCCATTGTAGAAATGCCTTTGCTCTCCTGAAGTGGACAGCCCGGTGCCGGTTGTCACCTCCAGCCTGTCCCTCGGCATCCTTCTGGCTGGGGTCCCTCCCTTTGGGCCTTTCATAGATGGTTTGCGTGTTACCAGCCAAGAATCTTCCCATTC